CCCTAATATGTGTCGGCTTTAAACGTTTCGGGTATATAAATGATTGATAAGAAATGCATTAATCAATATATCATTTATCTAATTTCTATCTATACATCTGTCTATATATCTATCTATATTTCTTTCCTTATTTCTTCTACTATCACACACATGAACACACACACACAAACACACACATATATATAAAGAGAGAGAGTGAGAGAGAAAGAATTAGTATGAGAAAGATTTTTCACATAACTCTTGTTTATTTCGAAGTTTCGGGGGTTACATATCTGTGACTACTCGCCAGAACAGACTTAAACGGCTGATATCTCTTGATTATTTGTACATTTATTTCGTCGATGACTTTCACTGGCTGTTGACTTTTCTTCCTCTCATTTCCTTTTTTGTCTTTTTTTCTTTCATTCTTTTCTTGCCTTCTCCGTAGATCTCTGTTTTATTGCTATTGTTTTGACAATTTAATATAGTCTGTGGTTGGATTTTTGTCTATATGTAGTTCTGTGTGGGTTGGTGTTTTCAGGCGTGCCTAATTATATGCACGCATTCATATATATACATACATACATGCACGTACAATCACATCCGCATGTGTATGTTTAATTGTTCAGGTGCATATATATGAGAATATATGAGAGGTTATTACCTTTTCTACGGTGTGTAATTGTAGTGATATTCTATGTTGGGGTTGTGTGTGTTTTCTATGTTTGACTATTATTTTGTTGGTAATGCTGTTGCTCTATTTTCGACGGATTGTGTTTAGGAGCAGTATGGATTAGATTGTATAGTGGTTTGCGTTTGTGATGGGATGGTGTTAAGATTTTCTATTTGTTTCTTTTCTCTGCTATATTGCATACAATGGATTTATATATTAAGTTTTTGTTAAGGCATTTGCTGTTAAGTGGGCAAACGATTTTGTTTCGACAATTGCATTTTTGTTCTTATTTTGATGATTTTTTTTGTTGTGGATATTATTGTTTTGTTGTTTTTAATTGTGTTTGGTTATGCTTTTATCAATGTTATCTATGCAGCTCTAACTGAAATTTACTGCATTTTTGTTGATGATATTGAATGTTTTTTCTGTTTCTAGAAATATTTTCCAATTTTTTTTAAAGGTTATTGTTCGTCTTTTTTCAAAGTAGTTTATTTTCGTATATATAAATGGGGAATGGCTCAAACCCGGGGATACTGGATGGGTAGATATAAAATAGAGGCTAACATCAAGAAGTGTGGCGACATTCTCTTTCATGCTGAAAGAAATCTGTGTCGTTATTCGATAGTGACATAATTGTTATCGACACACACAAATATCTGTATATATAAGTATATAGATGCATACATACACACACGTATATATACATATATATATATATATATATATATATATATGTGTGTGTGTGTGCGTATATATATATATATATATATATATATATATATATATATATTATATATATATATATAATAAATATTATATAATCAATATATAATATATATATTTATATATAATATCCATGCAATAATTTGATATCCATGATAATTTGATATCTAGCACTTTCTCATTCTTTTCTCCTTCACTCATTTCCTAAAATTTTAAAAAGAATGTGTCTGGTATTTACTTTTATTTCCATTGTCATTACAATATTCTCTATTAACATGTTTTTGCCATTGTATTCACTCAGACGTTCTGTAGAATCCAATGGAATGTTACTTCATAATTATTCTGTATCTATTTGAAATTTGGAGAGCATTCACTTCCAGATGGTGGAGGAGTTATTTTATAGATTTCATCTGTCTTTTATGTATTTCTAATCAATTATCCTAAGCCGATGATGTTATGCGTAATTCCAGGATACTTTTAGGCTATTCCAATGAATCTACAGATTTGTCCCGTCTCTACTCTAGATTTTATCCTGGCTAATACATAATACACACCATGAGTTACGGGTCTTTGTGACGATCTTAAAAACTCTGTCGTTTGTTTTAGTAGTCCTTTCATATTACTTTAATTTACTAATCGCTTGCTATTTTCCTGCTACGACTGAAATTTCAATCCGTTTCATTCTGTAAATTTTAATTGTATCTCGAATGTTTTCCTCATACTAATCAATATTTCCTAGCATTTGAGCCAATTCATTGTCTCATATTTCATCAATTGCCTTTGTATAATTTATGCAAAATAGGCATAGGATTTTTCAACATTTGTATTATTCGCTATCTATGATAAGCTGGGGAAATGTTTAGTACTTTAGGTAAATTTACATGTGCAGTGTACTGAATAATTTTCCGATTAATGGACATTATAATCACTATGCTCTTATCGTTATATGAACTCCAACTTCTCACATACCAGTTTAGATTTAATTCTGAAAGCTTATTCAATGGTGTCATTCCTATATATATATATATATATATATATATATATATATATATATATATAATTCTAGTTATAATATAAAATTCTATCCCGGCTATATTAGCCTTTATTTATAATATGACCATATCAACAGAGTCTTACTCTTCTCAAAGTTTACAAACCTTCTTTGAATCTCCGAATCAAAAGAATGCTTCGATCTAACAGATGAACGTGATCAGTTTTTAAACTCTTACATGTCTGGCTGGGACCCCAGTAAGGAAAAATTTCAAATATCGACGGAATGACGAGAAATTGGAAGGACACATGGTAGAGTGGATGAAGGCGTTAGTTAGATCCAGTGACAGGTCCCAAAAAGCGTGATTTCAATATCTTGTTAAGGCAGTGGAGAATTTGGACAGAGGAAATAACAGGAGATAACTGATAACTGGCATCCATTAGATATGGCACGAGGAACAAGAACAATCTACCCAACGAGCGAAATAAAGGGTCAGTTCGACATTCCAACCAACTGAAGAAGGCCGTAGTGTACATCGGCTGAAATTTTTTTGTGATAGATACTGCAACAAAGATGAGGGCAATAGCTCGAATAATGTAAATAGTGTACATAATACATCAACTCAGAAAAATAGACATGAACTCTCTACTACAACGGAATATGGACATGAAAGTTATAATTGATCACACCCGTCAGGTGATATATTAAACTGAAATCTATTTCAGTAACGTATATTTTAGTGGTAAATATCTTTTGCACTTGACATTTTTTGTATGAAAGTTTTTGTAGAATTATATCAACGAATGCAAATTTCAGTTACTACAATGCTAATTAATACGTCAAGTATAATGGATCCAATAGAGTTATATTTGTATGTTTGAGTGACCTCAAAACTTCTTTTGTTTCTACATTCCATTTATACGCGATAATTTTCCAGCGTCCAAGAATTCCTTCACGAAATTCCTAATATTCTTTTTAATTCGTTAAAAATGTATGCTATTTTCAAATTTTCAGTGACAAGTGGTGCTTCATGTTTGTTTAAATTTTTATAGCAGTTTTAACTTCATAATCACTAAATTTTGTAATTGTTACGTTTGGTCATAGACTTTTTAATGATCGGATGGATATTGATGTGATAGAACTAGATGAGTTAAAGATTGAATTGTGACTCAAATTGCTCTTGTGTTTAGCATATTTCTTCTGTTTTAGTTACGTCTGTATGATTTTATCGTAATTCTTTCCTATTCTCCATCTTTAAACACATATTCTTTGTGGTTTCTCTTCGTTAATTACGATTCCATCTTTCCGGAAATTTTGTTGTAACAGAGCATTAAATACATTTTTTTTAATATATTAATTTCCGAATGTCAGTATTCATTATGCAATAACTAATATCACATAAATATCTATAAATCAGAATAATATGTTGGTGAATATATTCCATTCTGTTATGAAAAAAATGTACAGAAGCAGGCATGAGGGCAACGCTTATATATATATATATATATATATATATATATATATATATATATATATACAAAACACACACACACACACACACACATATATATATATATATATATATATATATATATATATATATATATATAAGAAATGGACAAGGTCCGACAATTTATTTATTAAAGACATTTTTATATATATATATATAAAGAAATATAGTCTTAACATGTGCTATATTTCTGGGATAAAGTGCTCAGAGATAATGGACTGACTATTGCATCTAGCATGAAACAGATTATCGCCTCTATGTGTTGACTTCTATGTTCACTTTTTTATTTGATCTCATAAGAAATGTTGATCAAGAAACATAAACACAGAACCCGTTCAGGGTTTTTTAATGTTTGATTGAAGATATGCTGCCTACATATACGCTTCCTTCGTAAATATTACAGGACGTGTCATTGAATATTTCAAGACTCACATAGCAACTGGTGCAATGGTTTGAGCTGTTTTCGTTTCCGATGTTTCTAAATTGTCCTTGCCGTTCACTGAAGAAGGAACTGGAATGATTGGTAGTGTTTACCAACAAATACTGGAGTTAAGTTTGTTGCCCTGATTATCAAACACATTTAGAAATCGCTATATCATTACTGATGAGAGATGATTGCACACACGTCCAGTTTGACGCAGAACTGGTACAAGATAATTTCTCTTCCATCAACTTCCTGTTATAAACCGTATGTATTTTGCGATATGGCCCGTGATGGTAAGCGATTTTCCGCATAGCTCATACTCAAGTGGGTCTGACCTAAAAGGAGTTCTTATGCAATTGATGCAAAATGGTGAGAAAAATCACCCCCTTCAGTTGAGCATAGTGTAAGTCCTATGATGAAAACAAAACTCGGCTTTTGGGAATTCTATATAAATGTAAAATATTGTCAACAAAGATAACAATATTCCATTATACAAACCGTAAAGTATTTTATTGTATGAAAAGGGTAAATATATTTACTTCTGAAATATACGTAATAGTATTAGTTGTAGTAGTATTAATCTGTCCAGTCTCTTTTTCTATGTCCTTCACTTGATCATACACGTCTTCCGTTAGGTTTGCATAAGACACAAAGAGTTCTTTCCCCTTGTCGCAGCACCAGATATAACCGCCGGAAACTCATGCTCGGAAAGTTTCATTTATCTATTCGTGAGACATTTCCTGAAATATGATACTGTGCCATTACAGTGATTTCTATTGTGTTTGTGTTTGAACTCGCAATACTCTGTTGGACTCCCCGTTACCATACCGTTTCCTGAGGGGCAAGAGCAAAAAGACGGAGCCATTGACAGCATGGAATCTCTCAGAATGTAAACTATTCTGAGTTGGAATATTGGATTTTATTGACTCGTATATCTCTTCTTTTTCCTTATCTGAACTAGACTGATTTTCTGGCAAGAGGAATTGCACAACAAAATTGATAGTTGCCATTTATCTTAAGGATAATATTATTACAAAATTAGTACAAAAATCTTTATGCAGTACTTGTTGTTTGAAAGACTATTCTGAAGAGATGATTACGCATTATCATACTGGTTGTTATTAGTGAAATTAGTAATTATATTTGTTAGTTTTTTTGTTTGTTTTGTTTTGTTTCTACACGGATTTTTTACATTTAAAGCGTATTATTATTAAAGAAAGTGGTGATATCCTGCGGGCTATTTTATATAAAAATAAAATAAATCATTTCATTCACGCTACGAAACAAATTTTTATTGGCATATAAAACATAGTCGTATATAAATGATAAAAACTGCAACATCAACATACAAAATATTAATAATGTGTAAAATATATGATTTTCAAAGGAAACGTTGATCCTTAGATTTATAGAATCGACCAGTTTTTGGGGGAATGGATAATTCAGAGACATGGCTAAACAATTTACATATGAGAAAATTTCTTCCTGACAATATCATAAATACATACATTTTTTTAGTGTCGACTTGTAAAAACTACAAACTCTTCGTTGTCATTATTTAATTCAAATAAAAAGACAACTTGGAATGTCATATACACTTTTCATATCGTTCATTAAAATATTAATATGAATAAGTGATGAAGAAATTTCCTGATATAATTTCACTAAAGATATAAAAAATGTAACAGGGAATAATCAAAGAATGCTTCTCGTCATCGACTTTAATCAAACATTATAGTGAGGCGATCATAAAAGATTTGGACGTTCAAGCAGTATTCATTATTTGTGACCACAATCTTACCAGTATAGGACATGCATATGAGACAGTGATGAAAGCAAACACGGAAGGTGAACTACGAGAATTTCTTACAAAATTTAGTAAATAAAATAAAGAATAAATATCAATCAACTATTGAAAGAAGGTCCAGATTATGGCTTCCAGTAGAAGGGACAGGCAAATATGCGTTCTTCGAAATTGAGGCATTGGGGGAATTTTTAAGGAACGGAGAAGGAACGCTTAAGAATTATAAATTATGAGAATATGTCGGTTAGCTATCGTTTAAGCTTAGAGTAGAAGAGGTTTAGATTGTAGTGGACGAGGAAACATACTCTTGGGAGTCTAAACAACAAAGTAATATTTTTGGGTAAGAATTTTTCGTTGTGGTAATTACTCTTTGGGAGTAGGAGTAGATTTTCCACCACAAATATGCTATGGTGGGACGTAAATTTGAAGGGGCGAGCTGGTAGGTGAAAGGAGTATAGCTTATTTGAATATTTACCATGATAATAGAATAGTGATAGACTAGCGACATTATTCTCTCGGATTGGAGTTGTTGTGTCGAAAATAATTCATCATCCAAAATGCCGCATAATCAATTTTGAACTCCGTCAAGTCTGGGGACCAGCAGACCAGATATGGTACCAATACTACATGATTTGCCTGATTAAATCTTGTAAAGATATGGAATTGAAGTAGTTAATTGTTTTACTATCGCTTACCCCAGACATGAATTTTTTTTTTTATTTATATATATATATATATATATATATATATATATATATATATATATATATATATATATATATATATATATATATATATATATATGTAGAAATATATGTATCACCAATAAATGAAATTAATACCGAGGAAAAAAATAATCCAAGTGAATCCTAATAATAGAAAATATTAAAACTGATCCACAGATATAGCTTAAAGTATTTTTTACACAGCATATATAAAGAAATTACAAGTAAATTAACAAATACCTCATCTGAATGATCATTCCGCTCCACCTGAGCTTGTCAACACTAAAATATTAGATAGAATAAAATAAAGTAGAAGTCTATATTACTTTAAAATAAAAACGGAGGAAAAGACGACAAATAAAAGAAAACGTATCTAAAAATGGAGTCAAGAGCAAGATAGATAGAAAAAGTGAACCAAAAAAGAACAGAGTAGAGACGGGGAGAGAAGGAATAATGATTCATTTAGCGTATAAACTCTGGACGAAACTTTAAAGAAAGTTGTAAATTTAATATCAGAAAAATTAACCTTGACCCATAATTCAAATGTTAACACCTGTTCAAATAGGAAAAAATGTACAAGGAATTATAATATTTAAGATAAAGACAAAGTTTTTCGAGATTGTTTGAAAATGTTGGAAATGTTAATAGTATAAAACAAGTTAAAAGAAAACAATATTAGTATATTGGAAAAATAAAATTGGATTATTCATTTTAATCATATAATTGATTAAATGGAAAAAAAACCAAAGGTACTAAATAACAAAAATGAAAAACTCGGCCAACAATTGCTGATATATTCAAACGATATATATATATATATATATATATATATATATATATATATATATATATATATATATATATATATATATATATATATATATATATATATATATATATTATATTTTGTCGTATCAAATGCTCTTCCTCTAATAAAACCAATAGAATACAACTCTGTTTTGGATACAGGCAAAATTTCGACGTAAAGACATCTTTATCGTTTGTTAATATTAAGGACCTCTGTGTTAGTGGTAACTAGCGCAGAGGGCCTCATCATTAATGTATTTATGGCTTTAAGAACATTTAAGAAAATATTAATGATTACATATTCTGGCTATTTGACATTGCATGAAAATTAATTACTTTGGTTACTTGAAATAATGACACATTCTAGGAATTATTTTTGGTTTCAATAGGTCTAATAATAAGTTTATAAAATGAGAATTTATAAAAATCATACGATTGGAATTCCGTTAAATGCAGTCAATGTCTTAAATTTCACTGTTGGTTAAATCGGGATATGAGTGTTGGAAAATAAAATGTACAGACAGAAATGAATTAGAATAAAACTTACACAAGTATTTACATTCATAGTCCTATGCAATATACATCTAAATATTGACCACACATTTATAGAGAAGTTATATCTAGAATATTAAAATATTATCCAGTTCTGATATTGTTCTTGTGGTCTGAGAATATTAAATTTTGAGTAGAACACCGGAGAAACATTCAATACAGTTTTAAGAAAACTCAAATTTTATAATAAGCCACAGATGTTCGTTTGTGAATCTCGTAGTAATTACGTATTTAAGAATACTGAGACTAATTTGAGTTGGAAAATAAGAAGAATGATACCGTGTGAGTTGAATAATTTGAAGACGGAAAACATTTTGTTTACTGTAAACTCGGAATGCAGATGTGCTAGATAAAATCGTTCCATATAATTCTAAGATAATAGAATTCATAATGACTACTTATAACTGCAGAATAAGATCTTGATCTAGCCCTTCTCTCTCAGTCACTCACTCTCTCTATTTATATTTAATTAGCAATCCATCAGAGTATTTTATATCGAACTATATTTCTCACTATTTGCATTATCTATCTATCTATTTATCTATCTGTCTATCTATCTATTTTATTTTTCTTTCTATCAGTATCTTTTATATCGAACCATAATTCTCACTGTTTTCATTATCTATCTATCTATCTATCTATCTATCTATCTATCTATCTATCTATCTATCTATCTTTCTCTCTTTCTGTATGTCTCTTAATTTTCTTTCTGCCACAATATTTTATATTGAACCATATTGCCCATTTTCCAATATCTATCTATCTATCTATCTATCTATCTATCTATCTATCTATCTATCTATCTGTCTGTCACTTTTCATTTTTTTCTATCAGAATATTTGATATCGAACAATATTTCTCACGGTTTCCATTATCTATCTATCTATCTATCTATCTATCTATCTATCTATCTATCTATCTATCTATCTATCTATCTATCTATCTATCACTTTTAATTTTCTTTCTATCAGAGTGTTTTATATCTAACCATAAAACTTGTGGTTTAGGTGTTTATTTGCAGAAATCTCTGGAATAAAACGTAACTGGGATTTGTTATAATTAACTAATATATTATTTATTGCTTTTAGAGTGATGGGTGAGTCATTTGGTATTTGATGTATCAAAATACCTGCTAATTATGCGGATATTGGTAACAGTCTGGGGGATAATCCTTACTGGCTCAGTCGTAATAGTTTGGGATTCAGACTGTGCTCGGCGTAGTAGTAATATTAGAAATAGGTCAGTGTCTATTGTGTTTTTCTCAGCCCTAGACGGGATAGAAATATTATTAGCAGATGACTTCTTAACTAATTTTGCCCACATCGCACATAGCTAGTTTCTCTGGCGACCGCGTTCATCACTCTCGCCGTCATTTCCTCTCGTCTAACTCAGAGATGTAAGTTTGTATCTATTGTTTTTTCTACCAGGCTCCAAGACTCTTGCGTGAACCTTCTTTTCGACTATGTATATATATATATATATATATATATATATATATATATATATATATATATATATATATATGTAGAGAGAGAGAGAGAGAGAAAAGATAGAGAGAGAAAGAGATAGAAAAAGAGAGAGAAGTTTGATCAAAATACCCGCTAATTATGCGGATATTGGTAACAGTCTGGGGATAATCCTTACTGGCTCAGTCGTAATAGTTTGGGATTCAGACTGTTCTCGGCGTAGTAGTAATATTAGAAATAGGTCAGTGTCTATTGTGTTTTTCTCAGCCCTAGACAGGATAGAAATATTATTAGCCGATGACTTCTTAACTAATTTTGCCCACATCGCACATAGCTAGTTTCTCTGGCGACCGCGTTCATCACTCTCGCCGTCATTTCCTCTCGTCTAACTCGGAGATGTAAGTTTGTATCTATTGTTTTTTCTACCAGGCTCCAAGACTCTTGCGTGAACCTTCTTTTCGACTAATATATATATATATATATATATATATATATATATATATATATATATATAGAGAGAGAGAGAGAGAGAGAGAGAAAGAGATAGAAAAAGAGAGAGAAGTTTGAACTAAATGCTTATCCTATGAATGTTTACATTTTTAAATACAATCGCTTTTTTATTATCAGAATCCTTCTGTAGAGCGAGAAATTTGTTGCTTTAAGTCTTGTATTCATGTCTGAAGGTGGTACAATATTCACTACCATATATTCGGGCTGACATGCCATAATATTCAGTATTGATTTCTTTGTTTCTAACATTTTTTATTTTCTTAATTCTTTGATTAGCCTTTGGAAAGCATCTTTCGCTATAACAATAAACCTTCGGATTTTAGTACCGCATTTCCTTTACTCAATTAATACACTTCCCTGGTTTGGTCTTAATCAAATAGATGACACAACAGGGTCTTGGAGATGTAGTAAAAGGACAAAACATATCGAGAACAACAAGGGACATTGGGAAGTGGAGAGCCACGATCGTTTACGTCCTGAAGGGACAGGGCAAGTAAAAGATGAAGTTATTTTAATTTTTGTAATAATTGTTTTGGTATCTTCAAATCGTATTTTGGCGGGGGGGGGGGTCTACTTTTTCCTGAGAACTATTCATCCTGTATTTTTGCAGTTGATGCTTAGTTGTTTCCTCTCGATTTCACTCGGTAAGTTCTCTAGAAATTCTGGTAGCTTTTTTTCTGTGTCATCTTCATATCTTACGCTGTTAAGATTGTGGCTACAAAAAACTTAATTCTGATAGGACACAAATTAAAATCATACGCAGAATTCAGGCAAATCCATTAAATCCAGTGATTGATAAAAATATCCGGGATTAATAATTTAGAATGGAGTCATCAAAAATCAGGGAAACGCCGGGTGTCATAACTTTTTGAAGAATTCTCAAAAACAGCTACAGCTTAACCAATATATTCAACTACAGAAGTGGTTAATGGGAAGAAATTCAGTTCCTTGTATATTTTTCCTACTCAATATATCGTTGCATTATTTCAGCTGAATGTAGAAATACTTATAAATGCAAACACCTGTATAAATAAATAAGATTAAATAGATTTCTATTTAAACATGCTGATTAGAATGTATATAATCATAAATACGTTGGTAACATACATAGCGACTAAAGAATAGCATGCAACTAAATATAAAGAAATAATATCTAAATGAAACATAAGCATGTATGATGAAAATATATACAGAACAAACGAGTCACAAACACAGACAAAAAATCGAACACATGAGAATTGTATGAACGTAAAATTTTGTGAAAGCATTGTTATGTATGACGCGCCATCTAAACGAATAAGAGGATATCGTTTTTAAAATTACGAATGCAATGCTGGAACAGTGGTTTCTCATTGCTGTTTCCTATCTTAGCTTTGAAGATAGATACTTTTTACGTAGATGCACACAATCAATGACGTCCTCAGGGTAGCAGGCGAAAGGATTCCAATAAATAGAGCTAAGCGAGAAAACGACGCGTGGAAAATGATATAGTAAACTTTCACAATACTGATATATATATGGTAAAATTTCAGAGAAAAACAATCAACATAAGATGATGACGAACTGCCAACAATCGGTCCGTCATGTTTAGCAAATATAAAGCGCGGCTGGTATGCTCATTGATAACAGGATTATCTGAAACATTAGAGACAATATGAACCTGATGTATTGCACGATGGGTTCACGTGTAATACCCTCAACACCAGCCGTTTCGGTTCATCTTATTTACCAAGCAAAAGTGTAGTTATCTGTTCTTATTATACTGAAAACTACTAATATAGATAGTAAAACTGATCGCATGTTCGGAATTCTTGATTTGATTTGGTCATCGAATAGCAAATATAATATATATATATATATATATATATATATATATATATATATATATATATATATATACATACATATATATATATATATATATATATATATATATATATATATATATATATATATGCGTAGTACTTATAGGAAAATACACAATATTAAAGATAAGACTAACAAATTGAGTTGTGTAGATAAGGAGGAAATATATATATATATATATATATATATATATATATTCTCAATTGCTGTGTTTATCTAAAAATGAATACGCTTAAGTTCAAATTCATCCCTGTTGTGCGTCAAAGGATTAGGGGTAGAATCTCCGACTGATGAAAATTCAGCTAGCTAGAAGCAGCCGGACGTCTATCCACAGAGTCTATCTGTGGATAACTATATATATATATATATATATATATATATATATATATATATATATATATATATATATATATATATATATATATATATATATATATATATATATATATCATTGACTAGTGTTGAAGAATTAGGGATAGAAACATTACTAATTTGCAGAAAGAGAAAATAGTATTCAGGAGGTCATTAGCTAGCGATTGATATTGCATTTAAACTTTTGTCAGATCAAAGTTGGCTGGAGAGCATGAAGACGGAAAGATGTTCCACAAGTGAGACATGCGAGAAAGGAAAATGTTAGCATAGAACTTAAGGCTACATCTAGCCAACTCTATTGTAAATTGGTGCCATCTCAAACTCAGTTAACTACTGCGCAAAAAGTCAAAAAGTAAAGATAGTAAATATCATATTACGATAAAACTATTTATAGAAATAGCACAGAGAAGTAAAATTGGATTAATGCGAAATTGAATGAACTCGAGCTGCCAGATCGTGATCAATTATATTAGAGATTCTTTTTTTTTTGATTTTTCAAGGAGGTGAAGGAAAATAGTATTGGCAACTGTTTAGATGTGGGAACAATATTGTAAGCATGAAGGAATTGTAGACATTGATACATATTCAGGAATAAAAAAATGCCTCTAACGACATAGTGAACACATTTTCTTTGTAGTTGACCTAGCATTGGAGTAAATATAGTCTTTCCACTTCATGTCAGCTGAAACCGTTAACCCGAGAAGGTGAAACAAATATTTATCTTGGACGTTAGCATGAGACATGCTGATCTACACACACACGCGCACACACACACACGCGTACACACACACACACACAAACACACACACAATGTACATATACAGATACCAACGCACACATACACACATATATATATATATATATATATATATATATATATATATATATATATATATATATATATATATATATATATACATACATACATACATAAAAAGTGAACATTGGGTTCAACACTCAGAGACGGCAGACTGTTTCATGCTAGACGCAATCGTCAGTGGCGGACTGAGGATTGCGTCTAGCATAACAGCCAGTCGCCTCTGAGTGTTGAACTCAATGTCCACTTTTATATTTGCATACGCTCTATCTAAAATATTGAGCACATTATCCCTAAATATAACACACCTTAAAACTATATTTCTTCATACATATATGTGTGTGTGTGTGTGTGTGTGTGTGTGTGTGTGTGTGTACGTGCGCGCGTTGGAGTCTGTCTGTGTGTGTCTGTGTGTTGATGTTGGTGTATGTGTGTGCGTGCATGTGTGTGCGTGCGTGTATGTGTGTGCGTGCGTGTGTGATCGTATGCAATAAAATGTCTTATTTTTACATTTTGCAGCGAATATTGTTCCTGTCTCACAAGAAATGTATGAATGTATTGTTATTGAGACATAAACAAATCAGACGGTATTCTCAGCATGGTTGCAATATCTGATTCACCCCAAGCACTTTATAACGATATACAAAGGACAACAATGAAATTTGTTGACAATGAGCTTAGTAGTTTGAATATGTTTAAAGTGCCACGTCCAAAGGCCGATGCGAATAAAATGATGTCACCGGAAATACAATCACCTGACAATCACAAAATATTTAATTTGTTTTATTCGTGTCGTTTTCAAGACGGGAAATGGTAAGAATATTAAATATGTAAACAACGTCATGAAACACTATGTTATCAACTGATTGATTATTTTTATTTTTATCGCCTGATAAATGGAACCTATGTTTGTGGGGCGCATATATATATATATATATATATATATATATATATATATATATATATATATATATAAAAAAAGGCTTAAACACTAATATTCCATGC